CCTGCCGAGGCACAACCAAGCGAGACAGCCCAGCGGCAGCACCACTCCACGGCCAGAGCGGGCGCCGGCCCCGCTCGCTCTCTCCGGGCCGCCTGCCGGGCGGTGCCGGCGCCCGCTCTGGCCGTGGAGTGGTGCTGCCGCTGGGCTGTCTCGCTTGGTTGTGCCTCGGCAGGCGCCTTTCTTTAATCCCGATGACATCAGCAGTTCCTGCGGTTTGCACATGTTGGTAATTCATTGCTTGCTTCCTCTGTTTATGGAGGATGAGTTTTAAAGGGCACAGGGTTTAGTGGTGCCGCCCGTGTCTCTTACTGCGATGAAGAGACGGGGTTTTCATGGAATAGCAGAATGCTAAGGGGTTGGAATGAACCTTAAAGATCATCTACTTGTACACCACCCGCCTTGGAAAGGGACACCTCAACTAGACCAGGCTGCTCAAGGCCTTATCCAACCTTGCTTTGAACACTGCCAGGGTTGGGGCACCCATAACCTCCCTGGGCAACCTGGTCCAGTGTCTCACCACCATCAAAGGAAAAAAAATTCTAATAGCTAACCTAAATTTCCCCTCTTTCCATTATTTCTTACCCTATCACTACAATTCCTGAAAAGAATGAAAAGATGAAAAGTCTCTCTCTGGCTTGCCAGAAGGCCCCTTTTAGATACTGGAAGGTTTCTATGAATTCTCCATGCAACCTTCTCTTCTCCAGAAGGTTCTCTTTCCTCCCTTTGCCTGTACCATCTGTGACTACATAAATGGATTTTCTTGTCTGTACCACACTTAGCTACAAGCTCTTTTGATTTTTTCCCCTAAGATTTAAAGCAGAGTTTTCTGGACCCTTGCCATCTAAGTACATGATAAATTGGAGACTCGGTTTTGCATACAGAGATTTAATGAGTCATTGTATTGTGTTCCTTTTAATGCATTTCAGTTATTACTTCATGTGACTTACGTGGCAGCTCTGTGAATTCCAAACTGCCATCCTGATTCCTTTGGCCTTTATATTTGTTCTCACGCAGTTTTTGAGTGAGTGTTAGCTTTAATTGCAGGTGCCATCTTTCTGTTAGCAATTTACTTCATTCATGGTATCTTCAGAGCTCTTGGGTGGATACTATATATATAAAAAAAAATCTGTTAATTTGTTCTCACAGGGGCAGCAAAGGAGTTTTAAGTGACATAAAAAAATAAGGGGCATCAGAGAATCACTACCGAGGTTTTTGCTTTGCCTGGAGTGGCTGAGGGCTGCCATCTGTGGGAAGTGTCGTGCGGTATATCCAGGATCTCACCGTGACACAAGAGACCAGGTGGAGGGATGGGTTGGAGCTCTGAAGAGGAAAGGTGAGCTGGCCCGGAGGGGAAGAAAGTAACAGCAGACAACAAACTGCAGAAATGGAGAAGAAAATACTGAAGTTCAAAAGAGGGTGATAGAAATTCATTGAAGTGAAAGTGGAAAGAACCCAATAAATTGAAAACAGGCCTTTAAAAGAGGGAAGAAAGGTTTGAAATGGCAGGTGAGAAGGACTGAAGTAAATAGGCAGGAATTATGACAGCAGGTATGACAGCTTCAGAGGTGGAGACAGGGAAATGGGGAAAGAAAAATCAGAGTAGAGGGTCAAAGAGGTAATAGCACTGTGAACAGTGAGGTCAGTAACAGGACAGAAAAGAAACGAGCTCCTGGAGGACTGGTAGTGATAATTCACATTAACAAGTCGTGGGGAGTCGTACTGAGATACAGAGACAGGAGGAGAACTTGGGAATCTTTAGAGGAAAAAGCAAAAGCATGCTAAGATTTTTTTTTGTGTCACTGGCAAGTCCCTTTATAACCATGTTTGTACCCTGTCATCTCATGAACTGTCAGCCTTTCTTTCAAGCTTGTACATAAAGACTGCACATTTGACAGTGGGAGTCCTGTTGCCTTGTCACAGCAGGGAAAGGTGGGGACTTTCACTCGTTTTAAAATAATTTCTTAACCATCTTCAGATGTGCCTCGAATAGGAACAGCAAACAGGAGACCTGAGAATCGTCTCAGGCCACGATGCTCCAAGATCAATATTGGAGGCAGGTGCCGGACAGGTGGCTCTTCAATGCTTTATCAAGGTCATCAGGTGATGAGCGTCACGGGTTTTTCTTCAGGGAAGGCACGGAGCAGCGTTCCTGCACAGAAGCTCTCGGAGCTCAGTGTGGCCAGCCAGGGAGCCCGGCTGAGGTGCCGCTTCCTCTCTCTGCCGCTTGTTCTCCCTGCGGGGGCGTGCGGAGGGAGGCCGTGAAGGGGTGGCGGCCCCGCGGGTGCCCGGCAGCGCTGCCCGCACCGGCGGCGGGCCGAG